AGGCAAAGGGATGTCTGGTAAATGGGAGGCTTTCAAAAGTGAATTAGGGGGTTCAGGGACAGCATGTTCCTGTTAGAATGAAGGGTAAGACTGGCAGGAGTAGGGAACCCTGAATGACTCCAGTTATTGAGGCCCTGGTGAAGAAAGTGATACATATCGGTAGCTGCGATCAAGTGACTTGAGTATAGAGTGTGTCAAAGGAACTTGAGAGAAATCAGGAGGGCTAAAAGGGGACACCACATGACTTTGGCTGATAAGATAAAGGGAAATCTAAAAGGATTCTACAATAGCTCCGCACATAGACAAAGGTTGTCTATATGTGGAGCCACAGGAGATGGGTGAGATCCTAAAATGAATATATCTCATTAGTATTTATTGTTATGAAAGGCATGGATGCTAGGGAACTTGGGGAAATAAATAGTGATGTCTTGAAGACTGTCCACATTACAGAAGAGGCAGTGCTGTACACCTTAAAACGCATTAGGTAGATAAGTCCCCAGGACCAGATGAAGTGTATCCCAGAACTTTGCACGAGGCTAGGGAGGAAATTGGATTCGAGGAGGAACTTGTATCATCAACAGCCATAGGTGAAGTGCCTGAATATTGGAGAGTGGCTAATGTCAAGCTATTATTTAAAGACTGCAGGGAATGCCTGGGAACTATGGGCCGGTGAGCCTAACATCTGTGGTGGGCAAGTTGTTGGAGGGGATTCTGAGAGACGGAATCTACAGGCATTTGGAGAGGCAAGGACTCATTTGGGATAGTCAGCATTGCTTTGTGTGTAGGACATCTTGTCTCACAAGCTTTTTTGAAGGGGTGAACAAGAAAGTAGATGAAGACAGCTTGGCAGATGTTGTCAATGTGGACTTCAGCAAGGCCTTTGACAAGGTACTGCATGGTGAGTTGTTGAGTTAGGTTAAATCTCGCAGGATCCAGAGAGAGATACACCAATTTTGTATCCAATTGGCTAAGGTAGAAGACAGAGTGGTGGTACAAGGTAATTTTTCAAGCTGGAAGCCTGTGTCCAGCAATGTGCCATAGGGATCGGTGCTGGATCCGTTGTTATTCATCATTTCTATAAATGATTTGGATGAGAATTTAGGAGATATGTTTAGTCAGTTTGCGAGTGACACCAAGACTGGTGGTATAACGGACAGTGAAGGTTGCCTGGCAATACAGTGAGTTTTTGATCAACTGAGCCAGTGGGCTGAAGAATGGAGTTTAATTTAGATAAATGCAAGGTGTTGTTTTTTGCAAGGTGTTGTTTTTTGCAAGGTCAAACCAGGACAGAACTTACACAGTCAATGGTAGTGCCCTGGGGAGTGCTATAGAACAAAGAGATCTAGGGGTATAGGTTCATAATCTCTTTGAAACTGGAGTCACTGGTAGACAGGGCCATGATTAAGGCTTTCAGCATGCTTGCTTTCATCGGTCAGAGCATGAGTATAGGAGTTGGGATGTCTTGTTGCAGCTGTACAAGATGTTGGTAAGGCCATATTTGGAGTATTGCGTGCAGTTCTGTCGTCCTAATGTAGAAAAAATATTATTAAACTAGAAAGAGTGCAGAAAAGATTTACAAGGATGCTACTCGGACTGGTAGGTTCGAGTATAAAGAGAGGTTGGATACGCTGGGACTTTTTTCCCTGGAGCCTAGGAGACTAAAGGCCTACAAAATCATCGATAAAGTAGATAGCAGACAGCTTTTCCCTGTGCTGGGGGGTGGGGGTCTAAAACTAGAGGGCATAGGTTTAAGGTGAGGCGGGAGAGATACAAAAGGGTCCAGAAGGGCAATTCTTCCATACAGAGGGTTGAGAGTGGCTGGAACAGATTGCCAAGTGCAGTGGTGGAGGGGAGTACAATTTTGTCATTGAAGAAACATTTGAACAGGCACGTGGATGGGATAGGTATGAAGGGATATAGACCAAATGCAGGCAAATGGGACTAACTGTGAAAACGTGAACCAGTTGAGTCAAAAGGTCTGTTTCCATGTTGTAGATACCTATGACTATGTCCCAGACAACACTGTGACCAGCAGGGCAGACCCAGCAGAGATGATGGCACATTCATAGAGTTATGGGAATTTGCTGTGGGACTCCTCAACATTGACTCCACACCCCAAGAAATCTCACAGCATCAGGTTTAACATAGGAATGGAAACCTCCTGATTACCATGTGCTATCCTCCCTTGGCTGATGAACCAGTACTCCATGTTGAAAAGCACTTGAAGAAAGCAATGAGGGTGTCAAGGGTGCAAAATGTCATCCATCAAGAGCGGCTCAGCAGCAGCTATATTGATTGAGCTGGTTGGATCCTAAAGGAAATGGTTGCTAGACTGAGTCTGTGTCAGGTAGCGAGGCAGCCAACGAGAGGGATAAACAAACTTGACCTCATTCTTATCTATCTGCTGACTACAGATTCATCTGTCCACAACAGTACTGGAAAGAGTGACCATTGCACAGTTCTTCTGGGGGCAAAGTCCTGTCTTCACATTGAGAATACGTTCTATCTTATGTGTGACACTATGACTATGCTAAATGGGACAAACTATGAACAGATCAACGGCAACAGAATTGCACTTTAATGCAATCTGCAACCTAGTAGCCCGGCATATGCACCACTCAACCATTACCATCAAGCCAACAGATCAACCCTGGTTTGGTGGACAATGCAAGTGGGCATGCCAGGATCAGCACCAGGTATACCTAAAAAAAAGTGACAACCTGGTGAATTTGAGAAAAGGTAGCCATGATGTTGAGATGCTGGTGTTGGACTGAGCTGGACAAAGGCAGAAATCACATGACATCAGCTTATAGTCCAACAGATATATTTGAAATCACAAGCTGCTCCATCAGTGACCTTCTTTCCATCATAAGGTCAGAAATGGGGATGTTCGCCAATGATCGCACAACATTCAGCACCAGTTGTGACCTCTCAGATACTGAAGTAGTCCATGTTCAAATGTGACAAGATCTAGACAATATCCAGGCTTGGGCTGACAAGTGGCCATTAACATTTGCGCCACACATATGCCAGGCTATGACCATCACCAATAAGAGACAATCTAACCACCGCCCCATGACATTCAATGGTGTTACCATCACTGAATCCCCTACTATCAATGTCGGTTTTATGCGGGGGGAGAAATGGGAAGACAGGAGTGGGGGGCTTTAAACCATTGTCCAGAAACACAATATGGACTCTTGACTCTCCAAAACCTGTCCATTTTCTACAAGGCACAAATCAGACACGTGATAGAATATTCCCCACTTGTCTGGATGGGTGCACTTCCAATGACACTCAACAAGCTTGACACCATCGATGACAAAGCTGTCCAGTTGATTGGCATTGCATCCAAACTCATCTAGAAGCACAAGGGCAGCAGATACATAGGAACACCACCACCTTCAGGTTCCCCTCCATCCATTGCCATCCTGGCTTGGAAATTCCTGACTTGGAAATTCTATTCCTTCGCCGTTGCTGGGTCAAAATCCTGGAATTCCCTCCCTGATGGCATTTTGGGGTAAATGCACAGCAAGTGGACTGCAGCAGTTTAATAAGGCAGCTTACCAACACTTTCTCAAGGGCAACTAGGGGTAGGCAACAAATACTGGCCAGCCAGCAATACCCACCTCCCACGAGTGAATTTAAAAATTATTTTATGGTCTTATGGTTTAATAGTCTAGCAATAATACAACTGAGCCCTTGCCTCCAGAAAAAATGTTGAGGGGTGCTGAAAAAAATTACAAAAGTGAGGATGCTGCATAAAAAAAGTGCTAGCAAATGCAATAAAGGAAAAACTAAAGGCAGTTTTAGGTATATCAAGGTCAAGAGGCAGTCCTCAGGTGGTGAATGGGTTTCATTCTCGAGTCCATTTGCAAATCCAAAATAATGCAAGACAATATAAAGTAGCTGTTTAAAACTGAAGGTCAGCGCTGGGAATAGATTGATGCAAACAAATCCTTGCCTGGAGAGAACATTGGCCTAGCTACCGATTCCGATATACCACGAATGAATAAAACTTAGAGAGGAGAAAGGCTTCACAAGAAGGGCTACATAGTTGATTTTTCTTAGGGCAGCACAGTGGCTCAGTGGTGAGCACTGCTGCCTCACAGCAGGGACCCAGGTTTGATTCCAGCCTCGGGCAACTGTCTGTGTTGAGTTTGCACATTCTCCCTGTGTATGCGTGGGTTTCCTCCGGGTGCCCTGGTTTTCTTCCACAGTCCAAAGATGTGCAGGCTAGGTGGATTGGCCATGGTAAATTGCTCGTAGTGTTCAGGGATGTGTAGATTAGGTGGGTTAAAGGGGGATGGGTCTGGGTGGGATGCTCCGAGGGTCGGTGTGGACTTATTGGGCCGAAGGGCCTGTTTCCACACTGTAGGGATTGCATAATAGTTGAGGAGTTTCAGTTATGAAGGTAGATTGGAGAGATGTCGGGGCTGTTTTCCATGAGGGGAAGGGATACAGGGAAAAATTTATGAACGAATAGCAAATAAAACAGCACAGATTTAATATATTTAGCAAAAGCAGGAATGGAAACATAAAGAGATACATTTTAAATCAAATGGTTAAGATTTGGAATGCGCTCCCTGTGTGTGTTAGAGACAGGTTAAATTGAGCTGTTCCATGGGGGAATTAGATTGTCGTAAAAATGTGCAAGTTAAATGAAATTGATTTATTCAAAGAACAGACGTAGACATGACAGTCCAGACGGCCTCCTCTTGTACAGTAACAGTTCCGATTGTTCAGAGACACTATTTTCGTATGTATGAAAACTACGGTTTCAATCATTCAGTACTTGAAGAATTTTACTGAAGTAATCACATATTAAATTACACAGCTTATATTACAGCCTGCACCTGCAATGGCTTTCTGAACAAGATCGCTAGTTTCTGAAGGGCTGGGATTTTAAAGAAAGAAAGAAAGAAAGACAAAAATCAAATAAGAACAACACAATCTTGGATAAAGTTCCCTGGATCAGGGAAGTTGAATGCTGATGTTACCTTCTTCCAAAAAAGCTGGTCCTTCTCTCAGAGGTTCCTGAACCAAACCGTGCATTTGATACACTGGAAAGATAAAGTTTAGCAGAAGATAAATACATACAATCGGCTTCAAATATTAAACATAATATTCCCATCATACAGAAAATTAAAAACAAAAATTAAAGTCACAACAGCATTTAGCTGTAGAAATGTATATTCCAGCCTATATCTGTGGTAACTCTTGGTGGGAGCAAGTTTAAACTCTTTATACTTTAGCCTGTAAATGTTACTTCAGAGTTTTCCAAGACATTTTGAAATCCACAACTGAATCTGCTTCCATCACTCAGTGGTTTTCCAAACCACTCATTATTCAAGTTTTTATTTCATCTACTTTGGTTCTTTTCCCACTCAGCTTAACCAGGTATTCACTGGTTCCTGTCCTTCCATTCAACATGAAGTTTCTGTGTACACTCCTCGCAAACAGTTCAGATTTTCTCTCGACTATGTCTTTGTGAAGGAGAACAGCCTCTGTTTTCCTCCTTTACAGGCACTCCCTGGGCAGCAAACGTGTTCCGTTCAAGTACATTTGCAAGGGGGAGGCAATGGCCTAGTGGTATTATCGCTGGACTGTTAATCCAGAGACCCAGATAATGTTCTGGGGACCTGGGTTCGAATCCCGCCATGGCAGATGGTGGAATTTGAGTTCAATAAATATCTGGAATTAACAATCTAATGAAGACTATGAATCCATTGTCGATTGTTGGAAAAATCCATCTGGTTCACGAATGCCCTTTAGGGAAGGAAACTACTCATCCTTACTTGGTCTGGCCTATATGTGACTCCAGACCCACAGCACTGTCGTTGATTCTTAACTACCTTCTGGGCAATTAGGGATGGGCAATAAACACTGCCTAGCCAGTGATGCCCTTATCCCATGAATGAATAAAGAAGAAAAAAGTTAGAACACAATGCAGGAGAATACAAAGTAGTTGCAAGTAAATACAGGAAATGTTCGTACATCAGATTTTTAAAATTAAAATTATTAATACTGGTGCTTATTTCAGAAAACATCTCATGATTTGCATCTCCTAGTGTGTGCTCCACCTGTTTTTGCAGGCCTGTTATTTTCTCCTGCACTGCTTTGAGCTTTAGCTGCTGCTTCTGTAGCTGCATTCATTGAGCAGGGTCCATTTCACGTGAGTTGTTCCAGATTGTGCTGTAAGTCAGCAATCTTTTCATGGGACTGAAAACACGCAGCTGTTTATAACGCTTCTATTCTTTATCATTCAGCTCTTCATTCATCTGTGTGAGCTAAGCAGTGTCCCTGAAAGAATTCCTTCATCTGAAATGGTATTCTCAAGTTTGGATTTATCTTGAGCCTTCCCCTCTTGAGCTTACATTCACTCTCCATTGCAGGGAGCTGAGATTTTAACTTCACCAAGTCAGAAGAAAGTGAAGTGTTCCATTCTTCTTTCACATTCAGTTCTGAGTATTTCTTGAATTGTCTGCTGCAGTTTCTTACGATGTTGGACTGAATCAGTGATTGTGACGAGTGAGGCAACAGTGCACTGACACGCCTACAACGTTGAATATCTGTGACATCCAGGAAGATTGTTTGTATTTGCAGTCCTGGGCTACTGATTCTGCGTATGATGAATCATTATGTGAAGTTTTACATTGATAGGTTTCATCATGGTTCCCCATATCTGTGGGTACATGCTTTCAGAATACACAAGTTTGTAGTTTGTAACCCTATTCCAACCCTATGTCCACCCTAGCCTCTAACAAATAATCATCCGTTTTTAGAAGTACAGAGTTTGAATTTTTGCAGTGACTTTGAATTGTGTGTTGATATTGCTGTTTTCACAAAATGGAGTGTGAAATGTGCTCACCAGCCATTCTGTTGCACTGCGAACATTGTCAGATTCTGCTCTGTCAATCATATAAGGATATGACAAGACATCAAATAGTCTTTATTGTAGTGTAAAGATACACCTTGTGTGGTCTATTTGGGTTGGTGCATAGCTCTTTATAGCTACTTCAGCCTTTGTTCTAATGCACTGCCTCAGCCAACAGCCATTTCTGTGATATGCCATGCAAAGTTGATTAAAGTTGGGAATTTCCTTGGCACAAGTAAAAGGCCATACCTTCCACACCTAGATATGTTCCAGTGATTGTGTCAACCATCAAGTCTGTACATGTGATCTACAAGTTTGTTTTAAGAGTCTACACCTGGGCAGGACTGGAACCAATGTCCTAGGGGGTGCTTTTGCTAACGCTGTTGGGGAGGGTTTAAACTAATATGGCAGGGAGATGGGAACCAAATGAGGAGGTTAGTGGACAGTAAGGAGTGGTAAATAAAGCCTGTAAGGAACTAGATAACGAAGTCAGTGTGACTAAGGGGAAGAGTAGGCAGAGAACAGATGATGAACGCAAAGGGACAGGTGGTCTGAGGTGCATGTGTTTTAATGCGAGAAGTGTAGCAGATAAGGCAGATGAACTTAGGGCTTGGATTAGTACCTGGGAGTACGATGTTATTGCTATTACTGAGACTTGGTTGAGGGAAGGGCAAGATTAGCAACTAAATATCCCAGGATATAGATGCTTCAGGTGGGATTGAGAGGGAGGTAAAAGGGGTGGAGGAGTTGCATTACTGGTCAAAGAGGATATCATAGCTGTGCTGAAGGAGGGCACTATGGAGGACTCAAGCAGTGAGGCAATATGGGCAGAGCTCAGAAGTAGGAAGGGTGCGGTAACAATGTTAGGGCTGTACTACAGGCCTCCCAACAGCGAACGTGAGATAGAGGTAAAAATATGTAGACAGATGATGGAAAGATGTAGGAGCAACAGGGTGGTGGTGATGGGAGATTTTAATTTTCCCAACATTGACTGAGATTCACTTAGTGTTAGGCATTTAGATGGAGCAGAATTTGTAAGGAGCATCCAGGAGGGTTTTCTAGAGCAGTATGTAAATAGTCCAACTCGGGAAGGGGCCATACTGGACCTGGTGTTCGGGAATGAGCCCAGCCAGGTGGTTGAACTTTCAGTAGGGGATCACTTTGGGAATAGTGATCACAATTCCGTAAGTTTTAGAATACTGATGGACAAAGACGAGAGTGGTCCTAAAGGAAGAGTGCTAAATTGGAGGAAGGCCAACTATAGCAAAATTTGGCAGGAGCTGGGGAATGTGGATTGGGAGCAGCTGTTTGAGGGTAAATCCACATTTGATATGTGGGACGCTTTTAAAGAGGAGATGTTGATTAGAGTGCAGGACAGACATGTCCCTGTGAAAGTGAGGGATAGAAAGGGCAAGATTAGGGAACCATGGATGACAGGTGAAATTGTGAGACGAGCAAAGAGGAAAAAGGAAGCATACATAAGGTCTAGGCGACTGAAAACAGATGAAGCTTTGGAAGAATATCGGGAAAGTAGGACCAATCTGAAACAAGAAATTAAGAGGGCTAAAAGGGGTCATGAAATATCTTTAGCAAACAGGGTTAAGGAAAATCCCAAAGCCTTTTATTCGTACATAAGGAGCAAGAGGGTCACTAGAGAAAGGGTTGGCCCATTCAAGGACAAAGGAGGGAATTTATGCGAGGAGTCAGAGAAAATTAGTCAGATTCTTAATGAGTACTTTGTGTTGGTATTCACCGAGGAGAGGGACGGGTTGGGTATTCTAAAAGGCATTAGGGTGGGGAAATCCCAGGTCCGGATGGGATCTATCACAGGTTACTGAGGGAAGCGAGAGGGGAAATAGCTGGGGCCTTAACAGATATCTTTGCAGCATCCTTGAGCACGGGTGACGTCCCGGAGGATGGAGGATTGCTAATGTTGTCCCCTTGTTTAAGAAGGGTAGCAAGGATAATCCAGGTAATTATAGACCGGTGAGCCTGACGTCAGTGGTGGGGAAGCAGCTGGAGAAGATACTGAGGGATAGGATCTATTTACATTTGGAAGAAAATGGGCTTATTAGTGATAGGCAGCATGGTTTTGTGCAGGGAATGTCATGTCTTACCAACTTGATAGAATTCTTTGAGGAAGTGACAAAGTTGATAGATGAGGGAAGGGCTGTAGATGTCATATACAAGGAATTCAGTAAGGCGTTTGATAAGGTTCCCCATGGTAGACTGATGGAGAAAGTGAAGTCGCGTGGGGTCCAGGGTGTACTAGCTAGATGGATAGAGAACTGGCTGGGCAACAGCAGACAGAGAGTTGTAGTGGAAGGGAGTTTCTCATAATGGAGAACTGTGTCCAGTGGTGTTCCACAGGGATCCGTGTTGGGACCACTGCTGTTTGTGATATACATAAATGATCTGGAGGAAGGTATAGACAGTCTGATTAGCAAGTTTGCAGATGACACTAAGATTGGTGGAGTAGCAGATAGTACTCCATCTGCAAATGGAAAAGCCCTGGGGAAAATTGATGCACAGAGAGATCTGGGTGTTCAGGTCCATTGTACCCTGAAGGTGGATAGAGTGGTCAAGAAGTCATACGGCATGCTTTCATTCATCGGATGGAGTATTGAGTACAAGAGTTGGCAGGTCATGTTACAGTTGTATAGGACTTTGGTTTGACCACATTTGGAATACTGCGTACAGTTCTGCTCGCCACATTACCTAAAGGATGTGGATGCTTTGGAGAGGGTGCAGAGGAGGTTCACCAGGATGTTGCCTGGTATGGAGGGCGCTAGCTATGAAGAGAGGTCGAGTAGATTAGGATTATTTACATTAGAAGGACGGACCTGATTGAGGTCTACAAAATCATGAGGGGTATAGACAGGGTGGATAGCAAGAAGCTTTTTCGCCGAGTCGGGGACTCAATTACTAGGGATCACGATTTCAAGGTGAGGGTGAAAAGTTTAAGGGAGATATGCGTGGAAAGTTCTTTACGCAGAGGGTGGTGGGTGCCTGGAACGCATTGCCAGCGGAGGTGGTATAGGCGGGTACGATAGCGTCATTTAAGATGTATCTGGACAGACACATGAATGGGCAGGGAGCAGAGGGATACAGATCCTTGGAAAATAGGCGACAGGTTTAGATAGAGGATCTGGATCAGTGCAGGCTTGGAGGGTCGAAGGGCCTGTTCCTGTGCTGTAATTTTCTTTGTTCTTTAAGAGGAATACTTTGTACATATGTCCGTCCTTCAGTAGCTCTTTGCAATAAGTCTTTGGTTTGTTTTCAAATATTTGTGGAATAGGGATGGTTACAATTATGAGCTTAATTCAGATTGCAATTTTCTCAGACGGGTAACTAGCAAAGAACTCCTTTCTCTGCAGCTGCTCAAAGTGGTCAATGGAGTCTCAAGCTTATGTCTAAAGGATGAAAATTCTAGTCTGTGAATACAAAAGCTTAATCTGATTCTAAACTGGTCTTCTGACATGATTGATATGAAATCTTAGTACATCGGTACAACAAGAAATTCAAAAGGCAAGGGTCACATTAATTATTATTGCAAGGGGATTGATTAAAGCAGAAGACTTGCTACAAATTTACAGGGCTTTGGCGAGACTATATTTAAAGGAAGGATACCGCTACCTCGGAAATGCTGCAGCAAACACAACAAGATCGGTTTCTGGAATTTAGGGGAATCAATTAAAAATCCAAATTTATTCCATGACAATAGGTCATTCGGCCTTGTGAAATAGCCATTTAGTTTAAACCCAATTGAGATCTCATTTAAACTTCCAAGATCCTTGGAGATAGCCAAGATAGACATGGAGGTTATTTCCTCAGGCTGGGGAATTTCAAAGACTGGACACAGGATCAAGATAAACATCAATAGTTTAGGGCTGAGAAAGGATCATCAAAGGGTTGTGAATCATTCCATAATTCAGAATATTTGATGCTCAGAGGTTCACACAGGAAAGAAAGGGATGCGAGAATAGGAAGTGTGGAATTGAAAATCGGTAATGATTCAGGACAAAGCAGCTCAGAACAAAACAGCACAGGAAAGGGCCCTTCGGCCCACGATGTTGTGCCAAATATGACGCCAAATTAAACTAATCCCGTCTGCCTGCCCTAGGTCCATGCCCCTCCATTCCTCACGTATTTATGTACTTACCTAAAAGTTCCTTAAATGCCCCAATGTATCTGTCTCCTCCAAAACTCCCAGCAGTGCGTAGTAAACTTCGAACACTGTTTTAAAAAAAACTTGCCCCTTACATCTCGGACAAAACTCATTGTGAAACTAAGTATATGAATTGCAGTTTTAAAGTGAGCGGAGGTAGATATAGGAGAGACATCAGAGGTAGGTTCTTTCCTCAGAGAGGGGTAGGGGCATGGAATGCATTGCTGGAGAGGGTAGTGGAGTCGGCCTCATTAGGAGCATTTAAGCGGCTATTAGATAGGCATATGGATGATAGTATAAGGTAGGGATGAAGGTTAGATAGACCTTAGGTTTAGGGTAAAAGTTTGGCACAACGTCGTGGGCCGAAGGACCTGTACTTTTCTTTTACATCTCCTTTGAACTCCCTCCCCCACAACCCCACCCCAGCCCCACCCCCACCTCAAACTTAAATGCATGCCCCCTAGTATTAGACATTTCAACTCTGTGGAAAAAGATTCTGACCATCAACCCTATCTATGCATCTCAATTTTGCAGACTTCCATCAAGTCTCCCCTCATCCTCTGCCACTCAAAACCAACCCGCATTTTTCTAGCCTCTAGTTTATAGCTCATGTCCTCTAATCCATGCAGCATCCTGGTAAACCTCTTCTGTAACTTCTCCAAAGTCTCCATGTCCTTTCTGTAATTTGGCAACCAGAACTGAACACTCTAAGCGTGGCCTAACCAAGGTCTTATATAGCTGCAACATGACATCCTGACTCTTGTACTCAATTCCCTGACCAATAAAGGCAAACATGCTATAAGCCGCCTTTACTTCCCTACCTACTTGCACAGACACTTTCAGGGAGCTATGAACTTGAACCCCAAGATCCCCCTATATGTCAATGCTGTTCAGGGTCCTGACATTAAGTGTATACTTTCCTTAATATTTGATCTCCAAACCGCAGCACCTCACACTTACATGGATTAAACTCTATCTGCCATTTCTCTGCCTAAATCTGCAACTGATCTACACCCCGCTGTATCCTTTAACAACCTGCTACACTGTCTGCAACTCCACCAATCTTCATATCGTCTGCAAACTTACTAACCCACCAATCTACATTTTCATCCAAGTTATTTACGTTTCTCACAAACGGCAGAGGTCCCAGTACGGATCGCTGCGGAACACTACTAGTCATGGATCTCAAGCATGAAAATCACCCTTCCACCATTACCCTCTGCCTTCTATGGGTAAACCAATTCTGAATCCATGCAGCCAAGTCACCGTGGATCCCATGGCATCTTTATCTTCTGGCTGAGCCTACCGTGAGGGGCCTTGTCTAAAATCCACGTAGACAACATCCACTGCTCTACCCTCATCAATCACCTTTGTCACCTCCTCAAAAGTCAAACAAATTAGTAAGACATGACATAAACTTATTTGATTGAAATTCTGATCCACCAATCTAAATATTCACCACCTCCATTGATGCACGGTGTTTGCCGAGTGTGATCTATAAAATGTACTGCAGAAAGTCACTGAGGCTCTTTTTAACAGCATCTCCCAAACATGCAACCTCTACCAATTGGGACAAGGGTAGTCGACTTGGGGAACAGTTACAAGTTTCCTTCAAGCCACACATCACCCTGACTTGGAACTATGTCACTATTCCTTCTCTATTGCTGGATCAAAAACCTGGACCCTCGTTCTCACAGCACTGTGGGTATATCTACCACACGTTGGTTCAAGATGTCAGCTTATGACCACCTGCTCAAGGACAATTAGATATGGGCAACAAATATTGGCCTGGCCAGCAATGCCCCATCCACTGAAAGGATAACAAAAATGAATGATACATCAGGCATGACATGCTGAATGATCTACTCATGCTCCTATTTATATTCTCTTCAGCTTGACAATTTCCATTTGTAAAAGTGCAAAACACTCCAAAATAGCTTATGCAAAAGCCCTACAGAAAGACAATTTGTTGGACATACCTTTGAGGTGTAACCAGTCCATATCTGGTGGCCTCACTGATTCGGTGAGGCTGCAATGTTCTATGACTGTTGGGATTATGACTCATTCTGCTCATTTCAACTGAAAAATAAATGGATTTTTGCACAGTTAATGCACTCTTATACATCATTCATATAAATTGACAGGGTTCATGTATTGCTTCCTAATAATCTTGTGTTAACAAAATACTTGCAGTAAAATTAAACATTATTGCAACAGTACCTTGTGATTTCTAGTTTTTATTTCACTTGATTACTTTTTTTTTGAGGAAGTGACATGGAGAATTGAGGGTAGTACAGTGAATGCTGTCAAAATGAATTTTAAGGCAGTTGACAAGTTGGCAGACTGGTCAGGAAAGTAAAAACCCATGGGAAGCAGTGGAATGTGGCGAGATGGATCCAAAATCAGCTCAGCAACAAAAAACAAAGCAAACATACGTTTTTGAGAATGAAAGCAGTTTCCAGCAGTGTTCCACAGGGCTTGGTTTGAAGCCTTTTGTTGCATTATATTGGTGATTTAGACTTAAATAGGAGGTATGATTGGGAAATTTGCAGGTGATTCAAATCACTGTATTCAAAAATAAAGATGATATCTGTCAACTTGAGTGATATCGATGTTTTGGTTGAGTTAGTGGATTGAATTCCATTTGTTATTTTTCCACAGGATATTTGGGGAGGGCAAACAAAGCTAGGGAATACACAACAAACAGGGAAGATATTGTTTTTATTTCAATGTGCTGCAGAAACTCAGCAGCATTTGGGGAGGGAAACAGACTTAACGTTTCAAGTCCATATGACCATGAAGTTCATATTGAACATGCAATGTTAACTGTTTATCTCTCGACAGATGCTGCCAGGCATGCTGAGATTTTCCAGCAATTTCTAGTTTTATTTCAGTTTTCTAGCACCAGCATTTTTTTGGTAGCATACTGAATTACAGAACAGTGCTTCTCAAACATCTTTCTGGTGTAGCCCCATTTTAATGCTTCATGGTGCTTTTTTTGGGGGTGTTGTGTGATTGAGAGACTTCTCCCCTCCACTTCCAACCTTTCATGGAACAGTACTTCTACAGGGGAGGGTGTAGGTTTCAAGTGTTGAGTCGGGAAAGATGGATTAGGTCAACATGCTTGAAACTTTAAGGATTTTTAAATGATACTGACATTGAGGGATCTGGGCATACAGGTTCACAAATCCCTGAAAGTGGCAACACTGTTGGATAAGGTGATCAAGAAAGTATACAGCATCCTTGTTTTCATTGACCAGGTCATCGAATATAAAAGTTGGCAAGTAGGTTACAGCTGTACAAAACTTCAGCCTGCATTTGGAATATTGCATGCAGTTCTGGCTGCCACACTACCAGAAGGATGTGGCCACCTTGGAGAGGTTGCAGAGAAGGTTTATCAGGATGCCGTCTGGTTTGGAGGGTTTTAGTTATAAGGAGAAGTTGGATAAACTCAGATTATTTTCACTGGAAAGACAGAGGCATAGGTTGGATGGTCAAAGGCTTTTTCCCAGGGCAGAAAGGTCAACTACAAGGGGCACAGGTTCAAGGTGAGAGGGGGGAAATTTTAGGAGAGAAATGCGGGGAAACTTTTTTTCCATAAAGGGTGACGTGTGCTTGGAACACACTGCCAATAGTGGTGGTGGAAGCAGACATGTTAGCCACATTTAAGTCATATCTTGATAGACACATGAATGTTAGGCAAACAGAGGGATAGATATCTTGTATGGGCAATAAATAATAGGTCTAATAAGGATTAGAATTGGCGCGGGCTTGGTGGGCCGAGGGCCCGTTTCTGCGCTGTACTGTATACCTTCAGAACTTTCTTTAGCGTCAATATCTGATCATGAGGCCATACAGCAATAGCCAAAGAGTCATTGGCCACAAGACCAAAAGAAAATAAACTAGGATTTAAAGAGACCTTGCAGCTGCCCCAAAATTTTAGATCACATCCCCACTCGAGTTCGAACCACAAGTTGAAAAACCCTTTGTAGAGGAAGTGGAAGTGCATGCCCACAGGTCCTGGAAGGTCCAGATAAAGAATCCACATGGAATGCTTTCCTTTTGCTGGACAATGTACAGAATAGAAAAGTAGAAATGTAATGCTGGTACTGTATAAAATACCAATTTGGCCACAGTTCAAAATGTGTAAAGTCACAGTCCTAGAGGACCATAGGGCTGCTCTCATCAGAGACAGACAACTGGTGGTGGTTTAACCCGAGGGTCACCACAGCTCAGGCACAGCAGAGAAGGTGAAACCATTGTGGTAACCTCAGCCAGGTACAAGAACTGAACCTCCACTATTGGCATCACAAATCACCCATCTGGTCAACTATGAACTGTGTACACAGTGTAGTCACATTACAGAAAGGACAAAATTGCTCTGGAGGTGGTGCAGAGGAGATTTACAATAATGCTTGAAAAACTGCAGCTATGAGAACAAATTGGATTGGCCAAGGTTGTTTTTCTTAGAACGGGGAGGCTAAGGGGTCACTTGTTTGAGATGTATAAAATTATGAGGGGCCCAGATAAGTAGAGAAGGAAGAATGATCTCTCCTCTAAAGGAAACCAATTACACAGATTTACGGGGAGATAGCAGAATTAGATGGAAAATGTTTTCACCCAGAACAGGTTGGGCACGTGGAATTTGTTGCTGATTTAATGGGTGCCTGGAATTTGCAACTCTATTTAGTGGTGGAGGCAAAAGCCCTCAAATTATTTAATAGGTACCCAGACCTGCACTTGAAATGCTGTAACCTGCAAGGCCAGGCAGCAGATGCTGGAAGATGAGATGCGAATGGTGACTAGTTTGATTCAATTTACACAGACATGATGTGCTGAAATGTTATGTTCTACACAGTAACTTTTACAAATCTAAATAATTTAATACAAGCAAAAACTTCTCATTCTGGACAAAGCTGCATAAAGCTGCCTGTGTGTGAAAATAAATGTTGGAAGATAAATGTGACGAGAGTGAGGACTTGTTAAAAACAAACAAGAGGGAAAAAAAAACCCTTGTCAGAAAATAGGTTTTCTTGGACACAGGCTGACCACAGCTTTCGTCAGACAGAGACTGGAAAGGAATTTCCTAATACATTGGTCAAGATAAGACCATAAAGTATAGGGGCAGAATTAGGCCTTTGCTCCAACATTCAATCGTGGATGATATGTTTCTCAACCTCATTCTCCTGCCTTCTCCACTTAACCCTTGATCCCCTTACTAATCAAGAACCTAACTATCTTTGTCTTAAATACACTCAACGGCTTTGCCTCAGAGAGCTGTGGACGCCATGGAATTTCGCAGATTCACTATCTTGGCTGGAGAAATTCCTCCTCATCTCAGTTCTAAAGCGTTACCCTTTCACTCTGAGGCTGTGCCCTCAGTTCCTAGTCTCTCCTACTAGTGGAAGATTCTTCTCTGGGTTGACTTTTTCCAGGTGTCTCAGTATCCTGTAAGTTTCAGTCAAATCATCATCCTTCTAAACTTCATTGAATACAAACCCAAAGCCCTTCATCCCTGAGATCATTCTGGTAAACCTCCTCTGGACAGCGTACAATGACAGCACACCCTTCCTAACATATGGGGCCCAAAACTGCTCACAAAATTCCAGATGTGGTCTGACTGAAGACTTGTACTGCTGAAGTTGCGTATCTCTGCTCTTGTATTCCAGCTCTCTTGAAATGAATGCTAACCTTGCATTTGCCTTCCTAACCAAACTGAACCTGCATTTAAACTTAAGAATCCTGAACTAGGACTCCCAAGTCACTTTGTGTTTCAGATTTCTGAAGCCTTCCTCATTTAAAAAATAGTCTACATCTCTATTCTTCCGACAAACATGCCTAACCTCACACTTTGCCACATTTATCCTGTCTGCCACTTTTTTGCCCACTTGCCTAGCCTTTCGCAGCGTCCTCACTTCCTCAACACAAACTGTCCCTCCACCTATCTTTGTATCACCTGCAAACTTAGCAACAATGCCCTCAGATCCTTCGTCCAGATCATTAACATATAACATGAAGAGTTGTGGTTGCGACAATGCTCCCTGTGGATCCACTAGTCACCAGCTGCCATCCTGAAAAAAAAACCCTTTTTCCTTTCTCTCTACATTCTGACAATCAACCAATTCTCTGTCCATGCTAGTACCTTGCCTTGTATCTTAGTAGCTTCCTATAGGGCTCCAAAGGTCATCGGGAAATCTAAATAGATCACATCCACTAGAGGCTGCAGCCATTCGCGATTGTGGGGTGGCATAGTGGCTCAGTGGTTAGCACTGCTGCCTTACAGGACCTGGGTTCGATTCCACCCTCGGGCGACTGTGTAGAGTTTACACGTTATCCCTGTGTCTGCGTGGTTTCCTCCGGGCGCTCCAACCTCGTCCCACAGTCAAAGATGTGCAGGTTAGGTAGATTGGCTATGCTAAATTGCCCGTAGTGTTCAGGGATGTGTAGCTTAGATGGGTTACAGGGGGATGGGTCTGGCTTGGGATGCTCTAAGGGTCGGTGTGGACTTGTTGGGCCAAAGGGTCTGTTTCCACAATTAGTTATGCACATCTAATTGCTATTTCTTAATAAATTCCAGTGCCACCGAACGGCACCTACCCAGACATTCCCACCATCACCACCTTCCCGATGTTTTCACAACTAACCCCTTTCCTCATAGCCTCACCACTGGACCAGCCACTCTTTACTCTATATGTCTATTCCTTCCCCTCCCCTTTAACTTAGTTCATTCCCCAGGCCCTCGAACCAAACTGCAGGGTGAACACAGCCTTGCCCTGGGCCCTCAAATGACACTCACTCACCGCCCTGACCCTTACCCTCCCTCGGACCTCTACACCCCTCCAGGATACTCACTCATCCCCCTACCCTCATTCTCCTCGCTTCCCATACCAGACCAGACCAGACCCCACACCCTCTTTGTCCCAACTGCCTTTCGAGACCCTCCACTACCCAGACACGGGGAAAACACCACATACCTGCCTGTCCACCACTCCCCCTATTCACCTCCCGGACTCTGTCTGATCCCCAACCCTCGACCGTACTCTCGGACCACCCACCCCTCACCCCACCTCCCATCTATAAAATCCCCTCGCAGATCCTGCACAGCTTCCTCAGTCACTAATTAACACTCACCGCTCGGGCTCCCTGTCTTCTAGAGTTTGCAATTCCCGCCCAAAACGGCATCAAAATAACGGTCACCGGAAACGGAACTGCATCATCGTCCGTCCGCAGCAACAGTTCCTTCCAACTCACGTCACCATCAGGACGCTGCTGTGACACACCGGTTGGCAGGGGATCGCTGGGGGGCGGGGGCTGGGGTGAAGCTGTGGAGGAGGCGGGATCACTATAATGAACGGTTGGGGATCTCTGTTCGGGGCCATCATTGTCTGCAAGGGGAGTGGGGAAAGGCGGGATCAATATCAGGGGAGAATCACTATCTTGGAGAGAGGGTGGTTCACTGTCTTTGGTGCGGGGGTGGGCGCATTATTAAAGGGATAGGAGGGAGGAGGGCTCACTGACACGGGTTGTTCAATGTCACTGGGAAGAGGGCTCAAAGACACTGGGCTAACAGATACTGGGGGAGGGTCACTGACAAATCAGCAGGCACTCACTGATACTGGGTGGGGTGGGGGTCGCTCCCCATCACGAATGGCGTGGGACTCTGACACGCTCAATACCCCATTCCTCTCGCCATGGTCAGGAGCTAGAACTAGTTACACATGTCCTGAAAAAGGAAGGATAAGTAAAAAGGACATCTTAAGTCGCTCATCCTGTTTGAATTAGCTAAGTATTTCATGTGTTTGAACACAATCCTAATTAATAGGAATGTGTGTTGTACTAACTTCTAACCACTATATAGAGGGCTACATGATGAAATTAGAACTATAGAACAAGCTGAAGTCTTAACTCTTATTAGTCCTTCACAATACTGACAGCCTTGAATTGTTTGAAGGTATTATACTGATTCCTTGCCAAATCAGTACCTACTTGGACTAAGAAAATAAGAAACAAGAGCAGGATTAGGCCATACTGTCCTTTGAGCCCACTCTGTAATTCAGTTAAATCATAGTTGATTTTCTACTTCAACACCACTTTCCTTCACTCTCCCTGAATCCTTGATGTTTTTCATACGTAGAACTCTTGATTTCAGTCTTGAACATACTCAACAACTGACTCTCCATACCGTGAAAAGGGTAGAATCCCCAGCCATTGGAAACGTCCATCCTGTAACAACTGTTTATTTGAATGAGGTCACTTCTCATTTTATCATGAGATTTTTTATTCATTTATCAGATGAGAATGCTACTGGCTATACCAGCATTTATTGCTCAACCCTAATTGTCGTAGTCAACTACATTGATATGGGTCTGGAATCACGTATAGGTCAGACCAGGTAAAGTTGGCAGTTTCCTTCCCTAAACGACATTAGTGAATGAGATGGGTTTTTCCGATAATTGACAATAAATTCATGGTCATCATTAGACTCGTAATTCCAGATTTTTTTATAAAGTTCAAATTTCCTAACTGCCATGGTGGGATTCAAACTTGGGATCCCAGAACCTTGCCTAGGTTTCTGGATTAATCGTACAGCAATAATATCACTAGGCCATTGTCTCCACATTATCGGAGTGGAATTAGGCCATCCAACCCATCGAGTTGTAGAGATCTACAGCATGAAAACAGGCCCTTCGGGCCAACTTGCGCATGCCACCCAGTTTTCAAAATTTAAACTAGACCCTTTTGCCTGCGTTTGGTCCATATCTCTCTTTACCTATCTCATCCATGTACCTGTCAAAATATTTCTTAAATGATGAAATTGTACTTGCTTCCACTGCTACCTCTGGCAGCCTGTTCCAGACACTCACCACCCTCTGTGTGAAAAAAATGTCCGTTTGGACCCTTTTGTATCTCTCCCCTCTCACCTTGAACCTATGCCCTCTAGTTTTAGACTCCACACCATGGGGATAAGCTGTCTGCTATCCGCCTTATCTATGCCTCTCTTGATTTTATATATCTCTATAAGGTCACCTCTCAGTCTCCTATGCTCCAGGGAAAAGAGTCCCAATCTATCCAACCTCTCCTTATAAAACAAACCTTCCAGTCCAGATTTACATCCTTGTAAATCCTTTCTGCACTCTTTCTAGTTTAATAGTATCCTTTCTTTAATAGGGTAACCAGAACTGCACTCAGTACTCCAAATGTGGCCTCACCAATGTCTTGTACAGCTGCATCCCATCTCCTATACTCAAAGTTCTGACCGATGAAAGCTAGCATGCTGAAAACGTTCTTCACTGCCTGTTTACCTGTGACTCCATTTTCAAGGAGCTATGAACCTTTACCTCTAGATCTCTTTGTTCGATAACACTCCCCATTGACTGTGTAAGTCCTACCCTGGTTTGTTTTACCAAAATGCAACAGCTTGCATTTTTCTAAATTAAACTCCATCTGCCATTCCTCAGCCCACTGGCCCAGTTGATCAAGATTTCGCTGCATTCCCAGGTAACCTTCTTTGCTATCCACTATACGACCAAGCTTGGTGTCAGCCACAAACTTATTAACCGGACCTCTTAAATTCTCATCCAAATCATTTGTATAAATGACGAATAACAGTGGACCCAGCACCGATCCCTGTAGCATATCGCTGGTCACAGGCCTCCAGTCTGAAAAACAACCCTCGACCGCCACCCTCTGTCTTCTACCATCAAGCCAATTTTATATCTAATTGGATCCCTGGATCCCGTGAGATTTAACCTTATTGAACAACCTACCATGCGGTACTTGTCAAAGGCTTTGCTAAAGTCTATGCAGACAATGTCTACTGCACTGCCCTCCTCTACTTTCTTGGTCACCCCTTCAAAAATCTCAATCAAATTCATGAGACACAATTTCCCACACACAAAGCCATGCTGACTATGCCAAATGAATCCTTGCCTCTCCAAATGCCTGTAGATCCTGTCTCTCAGAATCCCCTATAACAACTTACCCACCATGGATGTAAAGCTCACCAGTCTGTAGTTCCAAGGTATTTCCCTACAGCCTTTCTTAAATAATGGCACAACATTTAGCGACCCTCCAATCTTCGGGCATTTCATCCGTGGCTTTCGATGATACAAATATCTCCACTAGGGGCCCCACAATTTTCTCCCTAGCCTCCCACAAAGTCCTGAGATATACTTCTTCAGGTCCCGGGGATTTATTTACCTCAATGCATTTTAAGATTACCAGCACTTCCTCTTCTGTAATGTGGCCGCTCTTCAAGACATCACTATTTATTTCCCTAAGTTCCCTAGCATCCTTACATTCCTTAACAGTCAATATTGATGAGAAATATTCATTTATAACCTCAACCATCTCTTGTGGCTCTGCACGCAGATGACCTTGTTGATCTTTAAGACACCCTATTCTCTCCCTAGTTGCTCTTTTACCCTTCATGTACTTGTAGGATCTCTTTGGATTCTCCATTACCTTATCTGCCAATGCCATCTTGTGTCCCTTTTTAGCCCTCCTGATTTCTCTCAAGTGTACTCTGACACCCTCTATACTCCTCAAGGAATTCACTTGATCCCAGCTGCCTGTGCATGTCATATGCCTCCTTTTTCTTGAGCAGGACTTCACTATCACTCTAATGGGAACATGTTGGCCCTGAACTCTCATTAATGCACTTTTGAAAGTGATTGAGTCTGCTCCACCATTCCTTCATGGCTGATATGTTTCTCAACCCCATTCTCCTGCCTTCTCCCCATAACCCTTGATCCCCTTACTAATCAAGAACCCATTTATCTCTGTCTTAAATAAATGACTTGGCCTCCATGGCCCACTGCTACAATGAGTTCCACAGACTCACCACCCTCTGGCTGAAGAAATTCCTCATCTCAGTTCTAAAGGGTTGTCCCTTCACTCTGAGGGTGTGCCCTTGGATTCTGGTCTCTCATACTACCACATCTACTGTATCCAGCCCCCTTGGTATCCTTTTCAAGACCCTTTGCACTTCTGATTTCCGAAGACTTTCCCCATTTAGAAAATAGTCTATGCCTCTATTCTTCCTACCAAAATGCATAACCTCAACCTTTGCGACATTGTATTCCATCTGCCACTTCTTTATCCACTCTGCTAGCATGTCCAAGTTCTTCTGCAGCCTCCCTGCTTTCGCAACACTACCTGTCCATCCACCTATCTTTATGTAATCTGCAAATGTAGCACCAATACCTTCAAATCCTTCATCCAGATCATTAATATATAACGTGGATGTGGTCTCAACACTGATCCCTGCAGAATTCTACTAGAAACCAGTTGCCATCCTGAAAAAGATCCCTTTATCCCTACTCTATGTCTTCTGAATGTCAGCTAATCCTCTTTCCACGTCAGTACCTTGCTCCTAAAACCATGGGCTCTTATTTGATTTACCAGCTTCCTGTGAGGCAGCTTGTCAAAGGCCTCCTGGAAATACAGATAGATCATATCTACTGGCTCTTCTTAGTCTAACTTGCTTGTTACCTCCTCAAAGAATTCTAACAGATTTGTCAAACATGACATCCCCTTTTGGAAGCCGTGCTAACTCCCTCCTATTTTGCCATGCATTTCCAAGTACTCTGGAATCTCAACTGACCATGAAACCATTGTCAATTGTTGGAAAAACCCATTTGGCTCACTAGTGTCCTTCAAGGAAGGAAATCTGCTATCCTCAGCTGGTCTGGTCTACATGTGACTTCAGATCCACACAATGTAGATGATATTCAACTGCGCTCTGGGCAATTACAGATGGGCAATGAATACTGGCCTAGCCAGTGATGTCCACATCCTGTAAATGATTTTTTTTTAAAATTAGTGGCAGTCTACTAAGTATGGTTTCATTAAGGCTTTATATAATTGTAGTTAGACATCTCTATTCAACTGTCCTGTAACAAAGACCTTCCTAAATGCTTGCTGCATGTGTATGCTAACATTCAGTGACTCATGAACAAGGACAAAGTACGTTTGAAGATCAACACTTCTCAACCTGTCACCATTTAAGAAATGCCCTGTTTTTCTATTTTTATTTCCAAAACTGATAACCTCACAATTCTGCACTTTGTATTCTGTCTGCCTTTTTTTTTTCACTTACTTAGTAGCTCCAAATCCTCTTGAAATATCTTTGCCTCCTCCTCATAACTCACATTCTACTTTGTTGTGCTGCACTGCAAGCATAAAAGTAGTGGGTAGATTCTTATAGGGGTCTAGGTGACGTGGGCTATGGCAAGATGTGTGGCAGAAAGGGCAAGAGGTCCTGCAAGGCCAACTT